ACACAAAAAAGAGATGGATGTACTTGTAGAGACAGCTATATAATGTGGCTTTTCTATAAAAGCCTATGGATTTTATTCCCTGTGAATTTTTTCCCTTATGACATTTTCTTCTGGCATCATAATAATGAATAATATTTCAGAGGCAAGCTTTGTTTTAAGGACATATATACCCTGCCTGCATAATACATGTAATAAAACCAAACACATACTTATAAAAATCAAATGAAAATTTTTTTATTTCAATGGTTCAATCAGTGTAGAAGCAAACACTCTGAACTTTGCAATTCAGTATCTCTGGGCAACTTGTTCCTATATCATTGTTGTTCCAAATGTACTCTGGGCTAGAACAGTGGGCCATGAAAACCTAAAAATTACATTTACATTTTTTTGTTTATGTATTTCTTCATTCTCCAATATACAAATTCTTTAAAATATAGTACATCTTAAAAATACTCACCTGAATGTAACATGGACTCTTCCAGAATTTTTATTCCTTTTTTTTCCTGATGCACAGAATGAATAGTGTTTTCCTTATGAGTCAGTAAACAATCTTTAACAACTACAAGAAGGTCCTGAAGCCCATCTTCCCCTTCTTTTGATTATATCACGAGTGCCCCATTCATTGCTGCCTCCTCCCAAAAAGAATGACTCCTTCCTTGCAGAAACAAAAGCAGCCCTACCTGAGAAAACCACTCTGAAATACTTTGATGTCTTTGCATGATCTCTATTTGCTAGACTGGTATTTTTCTCATTCCTCATCAAAACATGAACTCAATAATTGATTTCTTCCTTGTTGAATAAATGGATATGAGAACTTTATTCCAGATTAAAATAGTGGAAATTTAAGAACACAATCTCCTATTGTTAAAGAGAAATATAATGATATTCATAGAATTATGGAAAGTGAATTTAATCAGGAATATTGAGATCTAAATTAAAATTCAAGCTCTACAAGAAACTTGATAATTTGACATTGGGCAAGTCAAACTCTCAGACTTCAGTTTTCTCCTCAGTAGTATTTAAAGACAGTTGATAAAATTTTATTTTTATGCAAATACATTTTTAAAGTGCATGAATGTTCTAAATGACATATGTAAACATAAGAGTGAGCTTTATTTATTGCTAAGGAGACCTAAACAAAACATGGTTATCATTAGAAAACTAAATTGTTAATTTAAGTATTGACCACTTTGCCTAGGGTAGTGATTTCTGTGAATATTAACATCAGGTAATATGTCACCTTAATCAGTATTCATTAAATACCAACAGTTAACTTCTGGGGGCTCTTTCCTTAAGGCTAATTAAATAAAAATGTTAAAGCCAGTATTGTGAGGATTTCTGCCATGTAATAGCCAAATTATTTTATATTTAGCTTCTTTTTGATTAAAAGTAGTGGTCAAAGATGTTGAAGCCCTTGAAGGTGATTTTGAAGATGGAGAAGGGCTGAAGCTACCCAGGCAGCAATCAGAAACAATTAGGAAAAATGTACCAAATGCTTCATTCTTTCTGTAGGCTGCATGGAAAATTACATTTAATATTTCAGGCTTGTTGCATTTTAAAATAAGGCTTCCAACTAAGCAATTTTCAAGACAACTCCAATCAAAAGATATTGCTTAAAATTTTCTTACTGCTATAGAAATGAAAAGAGTGATTGTCTATGTTGATTAACCTTGAAGATTGCTTTGGGAAGAATTTTGACAGTTGTAGTAACATTACCATTATAATTTACAATCTGTGAAGAATTGACTACTGTGTTGACTATCAGAATAGTTTAATGCTTCCTTTTTTTTTGTTATGACATTCTACCATTGAATGAGGCTTCCTTTTATATGTGCTGATTTTATTCTACTACTTTAATATAAAGAGGGATCCCTGTAATATGTATTTTTTAAATGCATATATAATTTATTTCTTTTATCATGTTCATTAAAAACTATTCTCAATTATGAAACAAAGATCAAACATAGAGCATAATAAATATATCTGAAATATTTATTGATGCCTACTATGTGCAAAATGTGCAAATCAGTTTGACAGATACAGAGATGAAAAAGAAACATTTAACTCCAAGGAACTTACAGTTTAATGGATAGAAAATTCACAGTAAAAAAGAAATGAACAAAATAAAACCAAAAACATTTAGAACGAACTACACTTTAGTTATGAGTTGAGTATGGCTGATACTATTTCATTTGCTTATATATAAGTACTAAATAGAGGTTGTATCTACCTTATACAACAAAACTTGGTACATTGGGAATATGATCCCACAATTTTTATATTTAGAAAAGTTATAATTGAGTGAAATTACATTATACTTGGCAATATATAGAAAAATGTTTAAATACTGAGAAAGACTTTTATGCTGGCAAGAAGATTAATCTCTTACGAACCTTCTGGTTCAAAGGCCAATTTTTTTTTTTTTCTTTTTTTTTAAGAGACGGGATCTCGCTATGTTGCCCAGGCTGGAGTGCAGTGGCTATTCACAGGCCCGATCCCACTACTGATCAGCACTGGAGTTTTGACCTGCTCCGTTTCCGACCTGGGCCGGTTCACCCCTCCTTAGGCAACCTGGTGGTCCCCCGCTCCCGGGAGGTCACCATATTGATGCCGAACTTAGTGCGGACACCCGATCGGCATAGCGCACTACAGCGCAGACTCCTGGGCTCAAGCGATCCTCCCATCTCAGCCTCCCAAAGGCCAATTTTTAATTGCTTTAAATAGTTTTACAATAGCCTAAAATGTAGTGGCTGCCTTAAATTAGCAAACAATATAAGATTCAGTGATAGTGAGGATTTAGTTAAATGGCATTCTTATTTATTCATTTATGCATTAGTGAACAGTGTGTGTTTACTAGGTGATAGGCAATTTGTTAGAGGACTAGTGATACGTAGAGAGGAATAGTACCCCCTATCCTGGGCCCCACTTGTGAGAGGTGCTAGGGTAATACAAATCTATATGATTACTTTTGAAAGAAGTTTAATGACATTTATTAAAAGGTATGCACTCTAAAATCTGCGTATCTTTTAACGGATTAATAAGTATTCAAAAGAAGAAAAATGATTCATGCACCTATATGTTTAATGCATATTTCTGATACTAGAAAATTTGAGCCAACTTGAATGTTCCAAGTTTCAATGATTAAGAAAGTTACAGCATTTCCCCTTGGTTGAATATAACACAAACGTTAAAATTATAATCATATTAGTTTCATAATACCATGGAAAATGCTTATAATGTGAAAAAATAATAAAAATTGAATAAAATGTTAAAATTTCATAAAAATCTTAAATTAGAAAACTTGAAATTTTCAAAAATGATAGTTGTATTAGCATGGAAGTATCTCAATGTCTGTTTTTGAAATATCATATGTTATTTAAAAATAATTAATGAAGTAGTTTAATGTATAAAAGTCCTGAATTGCATGTAGCCTTTGTGTGTTACTGGTGATAATGTAAAATGGCACAGCTGCTGTGGTAAACAATGTAGTGGCTCTTTAAAAAATTAAACATATAACTACTACATTCCAGTATTTGCACTTCTGGGTACCCAAAAGAAGTGAAAGCAGAAACTCTTAACAGATATTTGTACACCCTTGTTCATAGCAGCATTATTCACAATAGCCAAAAAGTAGAAGGAAACCAAGTATTCATGACAGATGAATGGATAAGTAAAATGTGGTATTATATACAAACAGTGGAATATGATTCAGCATTAAGAAGGGAGGAATTTTTGACTCATGTTACAACATGGATGAACCTTAAAGACATTATGCTAAGTGAAATAAGCCATGCACAAAATTATACAAATGCTGTATGATTTACACTTATATGAGGTACTTAGAGTAGTCAAATTCATAAAGACAGAAACTAAAGTGGTGGTTGCCAGGAACTTATGGGAGGAGAAATGGGAGTTATTGTTTAATGGGTACAGAGTTTCAGTTTTGCAAGATGAAAAGAGGCCTGGATGTGGGTGGTGGTGATGGTTGCACACCATTATGAATGTACTTAATGCCACTAAATTGTACACTGAAAAATCGTTAAGATGGTGAATTTTATGTGTATTTTACCATAATTACAAAAAATTAAAAGTTAAAATGGTAAATTTTATGTTCTGTATATTTTACTACAATGAAAAATATTTTTTAAAAAGTGGTCCAGAAGCCATGGATGGATTTCTGCATAAGGATCAGAAGTTGAAAAGGGGGCTAATTTATAGAGTAAGAGTACAGCACAATAAAAAATTGAAATGCATAAAGCAGTTTGAAAAAGAATTTCAAAGGTAAATATCAGATTATATTGTGTTAAATATGTGATTTGAAATCCATTCTTGAGTATTTTTCATGCTTTTATCTAAGCTCATGTCTGTAGATAGCAGCAAAAAATATAATTGTCAGACTGAAATGAACTTTGAATTCTCAGTTACAATTTTAGAGGTGAAAGAGATGCTTGCTTTAGAGGTAAGAAACCAAGGGTCCAGAGAAGTTAAGATTTTATAGATAGGTAATGACAGATCTGTCTAGAATTGATCCCTTGACTTTTATTACAGTGTTATTTAGGCTTGACACCACCTCAGGCAGGGCAGATTTTAAAATATTCTTGAAAAATAATCTCATGAAAAATTCAATTATTTCTTCCTTATTAGGAAATCCTTATACTAAACATGAATTTCCTATGCTATAGCTTACATCTGTGTCTTTCACTCTTGCTTTTGATAAGTTTTTTACATTCTCAAGGAATTGTTAACTTCACAGCATTTTCTTTTTTCAAGGCATAGGTTCCTTTGATCCTAAGAGAGGTTGCATTTTCCTTACTTTTAAAAATAATCTCATTTATGAATCGTTGCCCAAATATACTTCCTACCCAACTCTTATATTAAACTGTATTTCCTCATATTACAGTAATCGTGGGACTTAAAATAGAAATCATATTGACCTTATTATCTCCTAGATCTTATGCATTGTATTGAGTTAGAACACTTTTTCTGGCAAGGAACAGAAATTAGACCCCCCAAAAAAGGATTTATTGGCTCATATAATTGGAAAGTCCAAGAGTACATCTTAAGGAAAGACTGCATCCAGAGAATCAATACTGCTTTCAAGATTTTCTGTCTCTCTGTCTTGATTTGCATTGCTTTATTCTTTAAATAGACTCTCTCCTAGTGGTAGGCAAATGGCTGCCAGAGCTTCAGACTCACATCTTCCAGTTAAGCAACTGCAATAGAGGAAAGAAACCAAAGATTTTTCTTCTAGTGTCTATATCTCAATTTCAGGTCCTGTAATTGGCAGCTCTAACACTAACACAGTGCAGGAGGAGTTTCCCAAAGAAATCTGAAGAAAGGGGGCAAGAAAATTATCTAGGCAGAAAAGAAAGATCAATTCCCATACCAATGTTTTCCCACTTTAGAGTGAAGCAACTTCTTTTCTTTTAATTCCAGATACATTAAACATCAATGCTCCTATTCAACCCCATTATAGTGTTTTAAATCATTTAACACAGGACTTCCCAACCTTTTTGGCACCAAGGACCAGTTTCATGGAAGACAATTTTTCCATAGACAGGGAAGGGCAGATTTAATGTACTGTGTATTTGTTTCTTTTTGGTTATCCAGCACTTGAATCCCTTTCCTTTGGGGGATTTATCACTGTGAGAACCTTAGTGAGAAGGCAGGATACATCTACCTCCACAGAAGTAGAAAAATACAGATGCTTTTCTTAAACTCTCATAATTGAAGTTCTGGCAGGCTACCTAAGTTTGGCCATCTTTTTCCTGGGGCTTTCAATGTAGAGCATGGGAAGCAAAGAAGCAGGAATAGTTAGAATTCATTACGATGGGAACAGGAACATCCAGGGCCCATTTGCGCCCCTGTAGTGGCACCTATGTCTGGGGCAGCAGCAAGGCACTGGCACTGTAATGAAGTCGTTCCTGTTACAGACACTGCTTGTTGTGGCCACCCAGCATCCCTTGGTCTCATTCTATGAGCCTGGTTTTTCAACCTTTCTGTTGTGTGAACTATCCAATATGCTATATTGAGAGTAATTTTTTTTGTACCCAAAACTACTTACTGGAATATTCTGCTAATTTTTAGCCAAGTTATTTTGAATAATTTTGAATTATTTTCTCTAAGATGCTAATGATCGGTGAATTTAAGTCTAATTCTCTTTTCATCTTCTTAATGTATTTAACAGTTTAAAATTCTAGAGTTTATTCTTCTGTGGCCCTCTTTTAATATTGATGTTGAACCACTTTCAGTTACCCACTACTGTGACTCATTCAGAACCAATTACTTCCTTTATTTTGCCATCATCCATTTTATGCTCTCCTTTCTCATTTTTCATTGAGTTGTACCTTTCTGCTATAATTTTAATACAAAAGCCCTTCATATCGCTTTCCTGAAAATGTTTTTGTATCAGTTTGGATTAGGTGGAGTTTCATATAACAGAGAAACCATAATAACAATAGTTTAATAAGATATAAATTTGTTTCTTACCATATAAAATAAGTCTGGAGTTAGTTATTCCAGGGTTGGTATGGAAACTCCGTGGACTGGTGGTGGAGCAGTCCAGTTTACTAGGTCATCATCTTTAGGGTCTTTTTCTGCCTGGTCCAGCCAGAGTTCCTCCATTATAATCTTGTTGCAAGCCACAAGATGAAAGTAAGGGAAATTGTTATTCCTTTCCTTTTTAAGGAGACTTCCAGGAAGTTTCCGTATAACACTAACACATATGTGTCACTGGCCAAACAAATGGCTACATTTAGCTGATTACAAGGTAAAATCACTTAAATGTTTATGATCCAGTAAGATTATAACTAAATAGGAATAAAATTACTCTAGAAAGCATTATTTCTGCTTTGTTTTCATGTAATTTTCCTCATCTAGGCTCATAATAGTATCATTTTGATCTATTGAATATAATTGAATTTAATTAATCTTTTGAATATAATTGAATTGATCTTTTGAATATAATTAAAAATAACTGATCAAAAGATTTGAAGTATCTAATATTAGAAACAAATATCTCACTATTTAAAATTATTTTTGAGTTAGAAAAGTAGTTTCCAACAAAAACTGTTTTTTTTGTTTTTGTTTCCTTCATAATTTCCATTATGAAAATAATGCTCTTTAAAAAGTAAGTTTAGTTTTTATTATCTTTAACAGCTGTTATTGATGGTTTCTCTTCTAAATACTGAAGTGACTGAAATACTCATGTTGTAAGTACAAATTTCTACTCTTATTTTCTTATAATACATTGAAAAAAATCTGGAAATAGTACTATGCTAAAATAGTAGTATTGATAGTAATAATTATGCCAGAAAATCAGTTTTTGAAATCTCTGTTATAGCTGTCATTTAAATTCTTGATAATGTCAATATTAATAAGTTAATGCATAATCTTAAAAAGAAAATTAAAACATTTAATAACTAAACTATTAAAGGATGACAATTATGAGACTGATATTCTCATAATTATTCTTCTTGAGAGTTAACAGCCTAACCCTCTTAACATTAACAGATGTTTGGGCTTTAGTTTTATTGTATTTAGTTTCTATTTATAGAGGCTTTAGCATCTATTTCCATAAGTATACTCATACCTTCACTGAAAACATAATTCAACAGTGTAGTAGTGGCTCTATAAATATTAGCACCTTTGACTAACTAGAAAAATTATTTCAGCATCATAATAATTAAGGGAACACACACAAAAAGGCAGGCCAGAAGGTTATAGCCTAAGATCAGGACACTTTCTGAACATTTTTCTTCAGTTGCATTTCTCTAAAATTGTAAATTGTGCACAACTGTGACCCTGAAGCACTATAAAATGCTGAAAATAAAATTTTGTTTAATTTACTCTATTTCTTAAGGCAGGAAAGTATATCATACATTTAAGAAAAATTTTCCACAAGTGTACAAAATAAGTCTCATTGACTTTCAGCTAAATAAAAAATTAAACCAATTATTCTGAAGTATCCCATTCTATGAGTAACGTGTTATCTAGTTTAGTTTTCTATTTCAAGTTTTTATAATTGTACACTTGTACCTTTGCCACTAAATCTAAATTAGCCTTTTTTGGGGGGGAAGTAAGAAGTTTGACATAGTCTACTGATTGTTATAGACTATAATATTGTTACAATTATATGAGAACTGTGTGTTGTATTTTTACTTGCATGTATATGTGTATGTATTATAAAATTCACAGATGTATACTATGTTATTTAAAAACTCCAGTGGTGGCAGTTTTAAGACTATTTTGTTGCTAATAATGGCTTAATAACTAAAACAGAACAGAGTCCTTCATAAGGTAATGGGGAAATATGCCAATTTTTACTTCATTTCCATCTTATTGAAAGACTGCATTCATTCTCTTTTAGATGTAAAGCTCTTCATTCTACTATTCCTCAACACTCTTTAGAGAATTCCAGCTTGCTTTTCACCTATCTTTTAACAGTTTAACATAGATGGCTGGATCAAGCCCATTGTTCCAATTGTATGAAGCTTAAAAAGCTCTGCAGTATTTTACTCTTTCCATTGTATCTGGCTTCCCTGAGTGCTCTGCTCACTGCATTTTACTTGTACTCTCTGTTTTCTAAACCCATTTATGCCTATTCTTTCTGAAGACACTTGTTCGTATGGGAGCTCAAATTGACTTCTCCCCATTCTATTTCCTTAACTAAAAATCCACCATTAAGGTTGATTGAACTCTTTTAAAGCACATCATAAAAAATTGAAAGGCCATACGAAAGTAGGCTACCAGTGTTTGTAAATACCTGTTTTAAGACAAATTGATAGGAACGAATAAGAAATAATTGGAAACTTTAAAATGTTACTGATATATTTATATACATATATATTTTTACAGATTAGTCTTTTTTGGTTGTTCTGGGAGGGAGAGGTGAGTAAGGGCTATGTTCTAATTAAAGATGGAACAAATAGTAGAGCCAAACCACTAAAATTATTGAAAACATTTTCTAGAAGAAAATATTCATGTTTTTTAATAAACAAGATGTAAAACATGCAGTTCATGAATAAAATCTACAGCTATTAAAATCACACTACCTAGGGGGGAGGGGGGAGGGGGGAGGGTATATACATACATAATGAGTGAGATGTGCACCATCTGGGGGATGGTCATGATGGAGACTCAGACTTTTGGGGGGAGGGGGGAAAATGGGCATTTATTGAAACCTTAAAATCTGTACCCCCATAATATGCCGAAATAAAAAAAAATGAAACTTTGAAAAAAAAAAAGTAGGATAAAAATCATCCATGTTTTGCAGTTTTTTTAGCTACATTGAAGTAATTGAGTTGTAATTGAAAAATAAAAATTGTATTCATTTAAGGTGTAAAAAAAAAAATCACACTACCTTAATTTTTTTTGTTTGTTTAAAATATAGTCATTGTTAACTTTATGGTTCACAAAAAGAGTAAGATTATCACTAACCTTTTTTCCTATTTATAATGTTTAAAAATAATTGCTAGTATGAAATGTTTTTAAACATGTAGAAGTTAATTATAAAATTAAAAACCAAGATGAAAATGTAGAATTTTATTAATATTTCTTAAAAATAATTCACAAACATTTCCATTTTGTTTGATCAAAATATAATTCATTAAAAAAACAAAATATGTTATCTCAATAGATTTTTATTCAGAGCATATGAAAATACTTTTATTTTTAATGATATGAGGAAAAATCTGTTCTAACTTTAAATTTAGCATTTCAGAATCACTAGTATTTTATGTGGAGAATGACAATGTTGATGAATTAGCTTTTTGATTTACCTAACAGAACATATAGTTAAAGTAAGGCTTAATGAAATATAAAAAATAGATAATTTCTATTTTCAAAGCTACTTCTAAGTTCCTTTGAATATACTATTTTATTTTTAGGTTATAACATTTCATGATTTTTTTATTAAATCATTGATTTTATGTTAATTTTAAGGAAAAATCATCATCGAACAAAATTTTAAGATAAAAAATGCATAAATTGAGTCTAAAAATGTCTTTTGAGAGAGAGAGAGAGCGCGCCGAATCCTAACCACTAGACCACCAGGGAACTTTAAAAATGTCTTTTGAATAGTTCACAAAACAATTTTATTCACAACTGAAAAAGTTATAGTAGAATGGTATAATTTATATTTATGTAAAAGCTTGTAGAAACAGAATATAACTAATGAAATAGCTGTGTATTTCTTGCTGACCTACTTCTAAAAGGCAACTGAGAACTTAGATGCAATTCAGCATAGGTTTTTCTTTAAAAATATTTCCATAATGGAGAAAAGTATAGAAAGTTGAACAAGGAAAGTAGTCAAGCACTTGGAAGTGGTCTACAGGCTCTAATTTTTACAGCAGAAGTGTCAAAAAACCCAGTCAGTTTTTAGCCCATAAACAAACTGTTGTTTAGATTCATTGAATAACCAAAGGAACTTTGCCATAAGTGCTTCTACTCATACAGAACTATAAATAATTTATTTCTTTTTATGTAAAATTTAGTTGAAGCTAAGAGGCTAGAGTATGACTAAGAGTAAGATCTATTGTATTAAAACATTAAACACTTTTCATAATGTATGTAGCTTATGAATAATGAAATGGCATGTTCCTTAAATATAAGGATTATTTTAAAACTAGTCATGAGTGGCTGCAAACACACATACTCAGTGCATACTAAATATTCTAGGCAATGGAAAAATAAACACCACATGTACTTGCCATCAAATTGGTACTAACTGATCAACACCAAGGCGCTCACATGGAAGTAATATTTCATTGGGTGATACTCAGGTGTGGGGGGGTAAACTTACACCTAATGGATGTGGTGTGTGCACTGAAGGGGGGAAGGGCATGTCTCTCGCCCTGGTTTGGGTGAGGCAAAGTCATTAATTGTAACCAAAATGTTTGTACCCCCATAATATCCTGAAATAAAAATATAAATATTCTAGGCAAAAATATATTTACAACCATAGTTAATTTTGTGTTAGTAGTCAGAAAAATCCAGGACTATAAAAATAGAAGTAAATAATAAAGTTCTTGTTGAACAATTAGTTTATTTTCATATATCTTCATATATACATATATACAAATCAGAAGATCAGTTTGATGTCTGTATTCACTTCATCATTGGAGGTTCCTGATCTATAAAGTCCCTCAATTTCTAGCTTTCCTGGTTGTTTGTGGAATTGTCCTTAATTGAAAACAAGTCATATAATCATGCATATGACTGCATGCAAAATAAATCTATCAAGATAATTGCTGGAGCAAAGAATAATGTTACTGTAGAAATTATATGTTTTCTCTAAGCAAAATACACTGGAACAGAATGAATAAATAATTTACAATCTTTACCTACATTGGGGCCCTATTATAGCTGATTAAAAAGCATATTAGTAATAATTATTTGCCAATTCCCTTGTAATTGAAAAAGCAATGAATTTGGTATTGAAAAAAAATATTGGGTATATTATATACTCTTTTCCTTTTGAAGCCACAGCTTTTTTATATATAAATGGAGACAATTATGTCATGCCTGCTTTAGGATTGTTATTAGGATAACTCATTTAAAATGTTTGCCAGTGGTTTGTAAATTTGAAGTTGTTTTGTTGCGATCAGTTGCTCAGTGTGTTACAAATAATTTGTAACTATAACTTAAAATTTCAGTGTGTGAATTATTTACTTAAGAAATAATTTACAGCAGACCTAAAATCACTCTTATAAAAACATTACTCATGTTCATTTACATTTTCATTTGTTTTACTGAGTTGGAAAGGGATGGAGTTAATAAGCTATCACTTTATGAATTGCACATAACCAATAGTTTAAGTGATCTAGGTATTCCCAGGGGAGTTGTATATCACGTCAGTGTCATCTGCTATCCTGACAAAAAAAATTCAGAATGGCTATGCCAAATCATGTTAATAATCATTTCTCTTATTGCTTTTATATGAAATTATTTATTGTATATTTATATTAAAAGGTCCCTAGAGATTCTGTATAGCACTTAGCAATGCCTAAATATGTTTATTATTTTTCTTAGTGTCACTATTAAATTATGTATTAAAAATTATTTTAATTTCAAGAAATTCAGATACAATTAAAGTTTAATTAAAATTTATAATAATAAGATGGCTCCAAATTTAACAACATATACATAAAAATTAAATGTAAGATCTCAAATATATTAGAAATTCATAGGAAAAATGGCTAAAAGAAAATAT